GGGGGAAAAAGAGGGAGGGAAAGAAGGCCCTCCCCTTGAGGACCCCCCCTTTGCTGTCAGGGGTCCCTCTCGAAGACGGCGCGCGCCTCGTTTGTGGGGGCTCGTCCCGCACGCACGTGTTGCGCGTTTCAAAGGCCGACGGGCTTGGGAAGCTCCAGGGGCAGCACGCGGGGCTAACGGGGCGCCCCGGCCCGATGGGCCCCTCGGGGCGAACGGGTGGGGTCCTGGTCCCAGGACAGGCCCCCCCCCCCCCCCTCCCTCCCCCCTCCCCTCATTTTCAGGCGCAGCTCTCGCGCCTCGAGGCGGACGCGGCCGACGAGGCGCCGCTCCTCCTGCGGCTGCCGGGGAGACACGTCCACGACACGTCCACGACATGTCCACGACACGTCCCACAGGCGTCACTCTTTGGGCTGCTGCCCGCCGACCGGCGGGGACCCGACCCGGACGCGACCACCGTCTTCGTCGGCAGCCTGCCCCTAGAAGCCGAGCACAGACCCATACCTCCCCGTATCTCCGCCACATCTCGAGCCCCTAGAAGCCGAGCACAGACCCATACCTCCCCGTATCTCCGCCACATCTCGAGCCCCTAGAAGCCGAGCACAGACCCATACCTCCCCGTATCTCCGCCACATCTCGAGCCCCTAGAAGCCGAGCACAGACCCATACCTCCCCGTATCTCCGCCACATCTCGAGCCCCTAGAAGCCGAGCACAGACCCATACCTCCCCGTATCTCCGCCACATCTCGAGCCCCTAGAAGCCGAGCACAGACCCATACCTCCCCGTATCTCCGCCACATCTCGAGCCCCTAGAAGCCGAGCACAGACCCATACCTCCCCGTATCTCCGCCACATCTCGAGCCCCTAGAAGCCGAGCACAGACCCATACCTCCCCGTATCTCCGCCACATCTCGAGCCCCTAGAAGCCGAGCACAGACCCATACCTCCCCGTATCTCCGCCATATCTCGAGCCCCTAGAAGCCGAGCACAGACCCATACCTCCCCGTATCTCCGCCACATCTCGAGCCCCTAGAAGCCGAGCACAGACCCATACCTCCCCGTATCTCCGCCACATCTCGAGCCCCTAGAAGCCGAGCACAGACCCGTGTACTCCGGCCAGCACTCGAGAGGAGGCCGTACTCTGGGTCATCGTCTCCGCCGTAGTCAGCGGGCATCCGTATCCCTCGTATTCACGCGGTGCTCTGAAGAAGCAGCGCACGAGTCCGTGGTCGCACCCTGACGGTGGTGTACTAACACTGCAGGCAACCTGCCCTTCGACGCCACGGAGGAGGACGTGCGCGACTTTTTCGCCGAGGTGGGCGCGGCGGTGTCGGTGCGCATGCCGCTGCCAACGCGAGACGTCGTGTCGCACATATCCACGCCACGTCCGCGACACACGCCCGCGACACACGCCCGCGACACGTCCGCGACACGCCCGCGACACGCCCGCGACACGCCCGCGACACGCCCGCGACACGCCCGCGACACGTGGCCATCCTCCTGTCAGGTCCGCATGCCGCTCAACCGCGAGACGGGTGGCGCGTCCGGCATCGCGTTCGTTGAGTTTAGTTCGCCCGAGCTCGTCGCCGCCGCCGCGCGGCTCAACGGGGAGGACTTGATGGGCCGCTCCCTCAAGATCAACGTCGCGGAGAGCAAGCCCGACGCCAAAAGGCAGCACAGCGCGCCGCCGCCGCGGCCGCCGGCCGCCGCCGCTGCCAGCGCTGGCGGCGGCCGGCAGTCGCCGCCGCGGAAGCGCGCGCCGCCGCCTCCCCCGCCACGCCGTTCGCGTTCGCCGCAGCGGCGCGACCGCTCGCGCGGCCGTGAGCGCGGCCGCGACCACTCGCGCAGCCGCGACCGCAGGGATCGCGACCGCAGCCGTGGCCGCAGGGGCCGCAGCCGCAGCCGCAGCCACGACCGCAGCCGCAGCCGCGACGGCAGGGGCCGCGACCGCAGCGACCACAGCGACGGCCGCGAGCGGCGCGAGCGTAGCCGCGAGCGCGTGAGAGCGTCTCCGAGCAAGTCGCGCTCGCGCTCGCCGGCAGACGGCGACGACGAGAGGTCCTCCAGCGAGGAGCGCCGCCCGCGCCGCCGCCGACGCGACCGTAGCCGCAGCCCTCCCTCTCACAGCAGCGGGCGGCGCAGCAGCGACGGCGGCAGCTAGCGCGAGCGCACGACTCGAGAGCTGACACACTTTTCGGTGCGCAGCTACATCCTACAGCACGCCTGTTCACTCCACATACCACAAGCAACAGTTGTGTCAGTTTTGTGAAATCGTTAAAAGGACGACGCACACTCCACGACACACCTGCCACACACGTGACTCGCGAGCGAGACGCGGTGTGTCTGTCGGATACGCGTGCATGCAGCATGCAGCCTCTGTGAGGAGCACTTGGGGAGCACTTGAGTGCTTGGAGGCCGCACTTGTGCGCTTGACCCACTGCTTGGCGAGAGATGGAAGTGGCGAGTGCAGTCGCGGCGGCGCCGGCGGGGGCGATTCGTCGAAGTACATGATTTTCAATTTAAAAGTGCGGAAAGCATGTCGGTTGCCGCGCGAAGCTGCGGGCGGCGCGGCGGCGCCTATGTGCCTTGCTTCTTTCCACACAAGAAGAACAAAAACTCGTACGCTGAGGCCCAGTCCGGGCGGGGCCTCTTCGGGGCAGATTTGGCTGCGAAGGCGCGGCGCAGCGGCGCGCAGCTGGCGCGTCCACTAGTAGCGGCCGCCGCCGCCGTCGCCGCCGCCACCATAGCTGCTGCCACCACCGTAGCCGCCGCCGCCGCTGCCGCTCTCGGGCCCCGCGCCGCCCTCTGGCTTTGGCCACCGCCGCCGCCGGCCCGAGCGCCTTGTCATCGCCCACAGCGTTCCCCGTGAGTGTGTGGGGAAGGGGCCACCGGCGTCCCGCGATTGGACGGCGCTCCCGGACGCAGGCTGCCGTCGTGCCGCGCGTTTGGGAGGGCTGAGATTGCGTCCACACGCGCCGCCCGGCGGGGGGGGGATGTGAGAGCTAGGGGAGGATGTGTGCGAGTTGCATGTCTTGTGTGAGCTCGCAGCCGGGGCTGTGCGATTTGTGATTTATTCTTTCACATCGCTAGCTCAGTGTCCGGCTCTCGGTACGTGAAATCGAACGAAACGTGTCCGCGCGGCGAGTCCGCTCGAGATCCCCCCCCCCCCCCCTCCTCCTCGCGGCTCCCCAGCGCAAGCAAACAGCGACAACACTCAAGTACGCATATCAATGCATGATGACCCTCCGCGGCGAGCGCGTCCTCCGACCGAAGCTCCCAAGCTCCACCCAGAGAGTCCTCAGGGTGGTGGCCACGCGCTTCTTCTGACATCTGAGCAGCTCGCGCTATGAGCGCTGGGCCGCCTCCGCTGCCATCCTGGTGGCAGTCGCCCTGGCCCTCGCAGCGGCTGCAGCAGCAACCCTTGCCTGTGCAGCGGCCGCCGCCTCCTCAAACGCCGTCTCGTCCCCCTCAACCGCCGAGTCAGCCACGTTCAGCGCCGCTTTCGCCTCCTCAAACGCCGCCCTGGCCTCCGCCTGCGCCGCCCTGGACTCCGCCCGTGCAGCCGTGACCACAGCCAGCGCCGCCACGGCCGCTGTCTTGGCCTCCTCCTCCGCCTCCGCCTCTTCCTCCGCCTCGTCCGCCTCAGCGTCCAAGCGAGCCGCCTTAGCCACTTCTGCCGACGCCGCTGCCTGGCTCTCCGGCGTGATGCCGAGCCGGATCCGCTCCTCGTGACACTTCTCGAGGAGCCGGAGCAGCCCCTCCCTGTCCAACGGCGCGGGCTTGGCTGCGGCTGCCTCTGCCGGCGCCTCGGGCTCCTGCGACGTCCCAGCCCCGCCCGCCCCGCCGCCCTTCTTCTTCTTCTTGCCCTTCTTGCCCTGGGCGCGCTTCTCCGCCTCGACCTCCGCCAGCAGCTCCTCGGCGTGCCGTGCCGCCTCCGCCTCCGCCGCCGCCCTCTGCGCCGCCCTCTCCGCCGCCCCCGCAGCCCACGCCGCCTCCGCCGCCGCCTTCTCTGCCGCCGCCTTGGCCGCCGCATGCTCCTCGAGGGCGCGCACGCACTCGGCGTTGCCCTCCTCCTTGGCGATCAACAGCGCTGTGCGTCCAGCCACCGTGCGCAGCTCCGTGTCGGCGCCCGCCCGCAGCAGGCAGTGGAGAGCGGCGGGGTGGTTCTGGTGGGCGGCGAGTATCAGCGCAGTGCAGCCGTCGCTGGCTTGAAGGTTGACCTCCGCGCCGTGCCGCAGCAAGGTGTCGACCACCCGCTCGTGGTCGTTGAGGGCGGCGCACAGCAGCGCGGTATAACCGTTCCGCGCGGTGCTGCTGACGCCGTTCTGAAGGTCGATCGAAGCGCCACGCTGCAACAACGCCACGGCCAGCCGCTCGTGGCCGCAGAGGGCGGCTTGCATCAGCAGCGTAATGCCGCTCAAACCCTTACGAGTGAATGTCGCGTCCACCCGGCCGCCGCCGTCGAGCCAAGCCAGCACCGCCTCGTCGTCTTGCTCAGCCGCCTCCACGACCTCCTCGGGGACGGCGTCCTCGCCCGTTCCGCTCTCCACGCGGCCAAAACGCAACTGCGGTGCCGCCCCCTTGCCCGAGGCGGCATCGCCGTCCGCCCCTGCGCCGCCCGCCTCGACCGCCGCCGCGTCGCGCCTCTCCGCCGCCACCTCGCCGAGAAACGTCTTGACAGCGGCGACACACTCGGTGTGACCCTCGTCTTTGGCGATCTGCAGCGCCGTCTTGCCCGCCGTGCGCAGCGCCATGTCTGCGCCTGCCCGCAGCAGCTGGAGGACGACGACAGGGTAGCCGTAGTGGGCGGCGCTTATGAGCGCAGTGTGGCCGTCGATGTCCTGCAGGTCGATTTCCGCGCCGTGCTGAAGCAGCACGTCCATCACCCGCTCGCGGCCGTTGCGGGCGGCGAACATCAGCGCAGTGGTGCCGCGAATACTCTGCAGGTTGATCTCAACACCGTGCCGCAGCAGCGTCTCGACCACCTGCACGTGGCCGTTGAGGGCGGCGCCCATCAGCGCGGTGCTGCCGACGCTGTCTTGCGCGTCCGGCTTCGCGCCCAGCTTCAGCAGAAGTTCGACCAGCTGCTTGTGACCGTGGGCGGCGGCGAGCATCAGAAGCGTCAAGCCACTCCCATCACCGCGCTCGCATGTCGCATCAACCCGCCCGTCCCCGGCGAGCCACGTCTGCACCACGCCCAACTTGCCGTTCACCGCCGCTGTCTCGATCTTTTTCGGCAGCGCGAGCGGCGCAGCCTGTCGCGCCGTTGAAGCGCGTCCGCGCCGGGAGGCGGCTGAGCCAGCTTTTGGTCGGCCAGGCATGAGGGCGCCGGGGACGCGCGCCGCGATTACTTTTTTGTGCATCTCTGTGGATTTAGGAGGCGTTCGCGTGGAGGAGGCCTGCGCAGGTAAGGACCGATTCGCCCGTGTCTTCGCTGGGAGGCGTAATTTGATTGATCGGAAAAGCGGCGTTACGTGCCCGTTGGCCGCCGAACGACACGCGAGGCGCCCGCCCCGGCGGTGAACGAGCGCCGTGGCCAATGAGCCGCGGCGTGCTGCTGCCCCTCTCGGCCGTGCTGCTGCTCCTCTCGTCCGTGGCGTCAACCTCTGCACTGCCCTCGCCGCCGCCACCGTCTCCTCCCCCGCCCGGCGCCGTCGCCATCGGCGACACAAACAAGGGTGGCACCATCCCAGCCTACGTCGCGTCAGCGCCAACACCACCGCCGTCTCCGCCGTCTCCGCCGCTTCTGCCGTCGCCGCCGTCTTCTCCGCCGTCTCCACCATCGCCGCCGCCGTACCCTCCAGCGCTCCCCGGCGCGACGTATGACATAGTCAGAGGCGACGGATCGGGCCGCCGACTCTACCCCGCCGCCCGCTCCGGAAGCCGCGCCAACCCCTTCCCGCCCGCCGACTGCAACTCCACCACGACGCAGACGGGCTGCATCGCGCTCCCGAGCACTCTGCCATCGCGAGTTGGAACGCTGCAACGGCCTGCTTGGGCTGGAACCCTGCACACCTCTCACCCCACATGCTTAACGCGCGAAAGCGGCGCCCGAGCATGTGACGACGGACTGCCCACTCTGCCTCGGACATCGGAACTTCCTGTGCACGGCGACGTCATTCGTGGTGAGCTCCAGCTTGCGGCAGAGGACCTTCCGGGTGGGAGCGTCACTCTTTTGCGGACGACGTCGGTCGCGCTCGGGGACGTGAACGGAGATGGCAAAGTTGACATCGTCGTTGCCAACAGTCCTGCGGAACTATGGTACGCCGGCGTACCAAACCAGCTGCTGCTCGGCAGCGCGATGGGCGGTTTTGAGGAGGCGGTGACCCTTATGGGCGGGAGCTTAACCACTTTGTCAGTCGCGCTCGAAAGCGAGTCGCAGTACTTTGATCGTGCGCAGCGAGGCTGTGTTGACTGCCCGGCGGCGGGCGTGCGCTTTGCCATTCTTTTGGGTATCGCTTTTGCTGCTGCAGGGGCAGGCGTTCTCTGCTACCTCGCACTGACCCGCGTTGCGATTCTCGGCCGTGCTGGAGCTCGCGCCGCGCACCGTCTCGCGCGCATCGAATTCAGCGTCGGCTTTCAGCCCAAGCTCAAGGTCCTGGTCAGCTTTTACCAGATTGGCGCAACGCTCGGCCCCGTGTATGGCGTGCGCCTCCATGAGAGCCTTACGCGCTGGACCAACATTATCGACATATTCAGATTGGATGTTCTTGGTCTGACCTACCCGGCTGCGTGCCTCGGATCGATGCACACCCGGCTGCTGATCACCGCACTGTGGCCAATTGTTGCGATATTGCTTGGCGCCGCCGCCCTTTCTTCCCACGCCATCGCGGTGTGGCTCTTATCTGGTCGCGCCGACATAGCCCGGCGCGACCTTGCTCGGGCAACGCTGGGCCGAATGCTCTACTTGGCCATCTTTGTAGTCTACCTCGTACTGCCCTCCGTCTCTCGCTCCATCTTCAAGGCGCGCCTGTGCGAGTCGTATGACATAAACGTCTTCACCGGCGCGCGGCGCAGCTTCCTCGTGGCCGACCTCGACGTCCTCTGCAGCGACGACGACCCGGTGTTCCGCGGGCTGGGCGCGATATTTTGGGCCCTCTTTGGTGTCTGGCCGGTGCTCGCTCCGCTAACCTTCCTCGCGCTGCTACTCTCGATTCGCCCTGCGGTACGGGCGAAACGTATCAGCCCTCTCGCCCGAGCGTGTCGCTTCCTCTGGCGCGACTATGACGCGGACTTCCTCTTCTGGGAGGTGTGGCGGCATGCTGTGCTCCCCTAGTGCCAGACATTGCTCTCGCGAGCCCTGCGCACGTCTACGTTAGGTGTTTGACCTCGCGCGCAAGCTCTTCCTCGCTTCGTTGGTGCTCTTCATCGACCAAGAGTACGGCTCGAGTAAGATGCTTCGCCTCGTCGTCGCCACCGTCGTCTCGGCCCTCTTCCTGGCCGCCCTCGCACTCGCCCGGCCCTTCAAGCGGTCCGATGATCTCTACCTCGCGTGCGTTGCAAACCTGCTGCTCACTTGCTGCTTCTGTCTTGGGACCGTGATTCAGCTCTGCGGCGAGGACAATGACCAGTGCTACCAGCTCGTCGGCCTCAACGACGCGCGCAGGGCCAGCGAGTTTGTCATCGGCCTAACGGCCGCGATGCTCGTCGCGTCACTGACAATCATCATCTTGAAAGCAGTCACCGCCGTCACCGCGCCCACGCTTCGCCTCGTCGCCACCGGCCGCGCTCCGATCCTCGAACTGCCGTCCGGCTGCCACTTCCACGGCTTTATCTCTCACGCGTGGGGAACTGGTCAAGACCAGACGCACACTGTAGTGCGGCAGCTGCAGCTGTTGATGCCCGGCGTCCGGATCTGGCTAGACGTCGACAACTTGGACGACGTGGGCAAACTCGAGGAGTCGGTGGCCGACTCGGCAACCTTCATCATCTTCCTGAGCGCCGGCTACTTTAGGAGCTGGAACTGTCGCCGCGAGCTGTATGCGGCGCTGGCCTCGAAGCGGCCGTTTATTGTTGTGCACGAAGCGGACACGGCCAAGGGAGGCGCCTCGATCCAGGCGCTCCGGGACGAGTGCCGCGAGAGCTGCGTCGAGGTCGCCCCACCTGCCTACCCCTCCTACAGCGGGCCAGACGAGGTGCTCGCGTGCGTATTTGACGAGGCGGATCCGATCGTGTGGGTGCGAGTGCACGATTTCCAGGTGGAGTCGCTCAAGGAGATCGCGCTGCGCATGCTTCGCCACACCCCGTACTACGCGCGACACAACAGCGAGCTCGCGCCGGGCGTCGCGGTGCCGGGCGAGGTTGGGCCGTTTGCCTTAAGCAGCCCAATCACTGTCCTTGTGTGTCGCGACAACAAGGGTGCCTTCGACGTGGCAAGGGAGGTCAAGGCGGTTGCGAGGGAGGGGCGAGGCTCTGCTGCGACCAATGCTGAGGCATTCACGATCCGCGAGGCGGATGACGCACTCGAGAGAGCCAATGCCGCACCGCTCCAGGGGCGCGCCGTATTGCTGCTTTACCTGAACGAGAAGACCTTTCTTGACCCGTCCGGCACCGTCGCGCGCATCGTGCAAACGGCAATGGACCGTGGCATTGCCATCGCTCCAGTCGCCGAGCAGGACCCTGCCAGCGGCGGTTGCGCGTTTCGGCAGTTTTTTCAACAGACGCCGCAGGTGCTGCAGCAGCCGCCGTACAAGCTCTTCGACACGCTGGCCGTGCCGCTCTACCCTTCCTCGCAGCACCGCAAAGTGAGCCTACGCCACGTACTCCGAGGCATGGGCGCCCAACCCCAAAGCGGCGGGGGAATGCGCAATGTGTTCACAGCCGCGGTGCTCTCGTGCGCACGGTGTCTGACGAGGAAGGACAGCAGAAGGATCGAACCAGCCGCAGCCGAGCCGCCTATAGATCGACAAAAGGTCGCTAGTCCCGGGGGAACGGCGTCGCTGCCCGAGCCTGCACCGCCTGAGGCTGCAACGCAGGGAGTCCCGACTCGAGCTGCGAGCTATGACGTGCAAGAGGAAGCGGACGCCCTCGCCCTGCACCGCGAGCGTGTGCTCAAGTCGTTGCGGTCCAGGCTGAACGCAACACAGGTCGCTGACTCTTTGCATACCCGCCATCGCGATGCTCCGGCGCCGCCCTTACCCGGAGGCCGCTCGTCAAAGAGCCCACCGCGACTGCGTCCACCGCCCCCGCCGTCTGGGCCTTCTCGCGAGGGCTTAGCGCTTGAGCGCATCGCCCGCATCCGCACGGCACAAGAGAAGCGGCTGCAGGTCCGTGCAAATAGCTGCAAATCCGTGCTGGCTCACGCGGAGGGGGCAGGGGGACTTGCAAGGGGCGGGGGCGTGGAGGGCGAACCTCTTGCGGCCTAGCGGGACCGAGTCAGTCAGTCAGTCAGTCAGTCAGTGTTACACACGTCCTAGCATGGACGACGGGGCACACGCACTCGCGGAACACACGGGGTATTACACACGAGCGAGAGAGGTAAAGAAATCTTTCAAACTGTGTGTGTGCCAGTCCGCGCCAGTCTGCGTCTTTCAAACTCGGTGTCGAACCACCAGCCCGACGCTCACTACAAGTGAGAGACACAAACAGGCTCACTGACCACACCGCCGTCCCCTCCTGGCACTCCAGCATGCCCGCCTGCGTCGACATTCTCGCGCCGCTCCTCGCTGCCGGCGACCTCCACACGGCCCGCTTTGCGGCTCTCGAGTATGCTATGCGGCCTGCCGCCAGCGCCGCGTCTCCCAGTCCTTGGCAGCAGCCGGCGGGCGGCACCGCGCTCGCAGCTTTTGACAAGGCTGCCGGCGACGAGTGTGGTGCCGCGTGGAGAGAGCTGCTCGACGAGTTCCTGCTCTCCGGAGAGCCAGCGCTCGCCACCGTTGCCGCGAAGCACTCGGCGCTGACACTGCCGCCTCCGCCACCGCCGTCCGCATCGCTCATCAGCATGGAGGACTATGATGCGTGCTGCTCATGGCTCGCTCGTGGAGGCGACGCGCCCCGGCGGTGTGGCGCGGCGTCGCCCGGCGGCAGCGGCTGCTCTCTCGCCAACGGCTCGACGGCTGCGTTGCTCTTGCCGATGCTGCGGGAGCCTCTAGTCAGTGTGATGCTACCGGGCCGACGCCTGCTACGCCTCGAGCAGGACAACCTTCCTGTGCCCCTTCGACGATCTCGCTGGGCTAATCTGGGCTAACTCTCGGCTAATCTCGCTGAATCAGGACGGCTTCCTGCGCCCCTTCGACGTCGCGACCGTCCTGTGGCCCGCAGGCTACCTGCTCGGACTCTGGGTGGCGGCGGAAGCGCGGCCAGGTAACCTGTAGCGCCGTCCCATCCCCGAGATGTAGCCGAGAGCCGATATTCAGCCGAGACGTATTGCAATAGCCGAGATAGGCCAGAGTCACTCAGCGCGCCCCAGAAACCGAGTCAGACCGGGTCAGCGAATCATTTCTGTAAATGCTTGGCAGGAGGTGGCTTGTCACGTGGCGAGCTGTGAACAGCGTCTCTTCACGGCTCGGCCTGTGAACAGGTGGGCTGCTGTGGCGGGGCGGCGACGGCGCAGAGAGCTGCCAGGTGGGGGGAGACGGAGGCGGCGGCGATGGCGATGGCGATGGGGATGGGGGTGGGGGTGGTGGTGGCAGCGGCGTTGGCGGCAGCAGGGCCGGCGGCGATGTCGGCGGCGGCGGAAGCGTCGCGCCTCCGCTCTCGGTCCTCAACTTGGGGGCGCGGCACTCGGCGCACGGGGCGTGAACGGCGTCTCTTCACACCTCCAGCCGTGAGCAGGTCCTCGACTTGGGATGCGGCACGGGCGCCGTGGCCTTGGCGGCCGCCGCTTCGCTCGGCGGCGGCGCTGTCGTGACCGCAACTGACCGCGAGAGTCGCTCTCTCGCTCTGGCGACCGCAAACGCGGCGCGGAACGGCCTCGAGGTGCGCCTCTCGCCCCTCGACTATGCGACCGACGAGGCGGTCGCCGCGTTTGCCGCAAGGCACGGCGTCACCGCACCCTCTCCTAGTACGGTCGAATGCAATACACCACTACACAACATGACGTCAGGCACGCCCCCTTCGACCTCGTTACCGGCGCCGCGCTGATGGAGCTGTCGACCTCTCCGCGCCTCTGGTCAGTGCTTCGCGCCCTCACAGCGCCCGGCGGGGCAATCGGCGTCGCCGCCAACGACGCCGAGACCGCCGCCGATGCCACCGCCGCCGATGCCACCGCCGCCGATGCCACCGCGAGCACCGAGGTGGTCGGACACCAGCGGCGTCGGAGGCGGGGGAGCCTGGTCGCGCTAGCGCATACCGTCGGCGCCGTCGCGTCGCCGCCCGAAGGGAGCGGCTTCGTCGAGGTGGCAAGGGTGGCGGGGCTCGGCTTTGGGCTGCACACGCGGTGGAGCGAGAGCGAGTCGGACTTTGAGGTGGTGGTGGCGCGCCGGGTAAAAAAATAAGAAGCCATCTACCAAAAGGAACTGCATGTGCATGTGCCTCGTCATGTGGCATATGTGCACGATGCATGTGCATGTTGAGTTGTAGAGCGTGACTGACGCGGGGTAAAGTTAAAAGTACGGGCAGCGGCTGACGGCCTGTGTGCAAAAGGTGTACACCGGCCGCGGCTCTCGATCTCTCGACCTCGGTCAGGCCTGCTCCTGCAGGTACGCGAGCGCCTGGGCGAGGCCGAGCGTGGCGGCGCCAGGGGCGGCTGCGGCTCCCGCCCGGCCGAGAAACTCTCCCACATCCGCTGCGAACTCGTCTGCGGGCAGCTCTCCGCGCTCCTCGCAGGTCAGCATCAGCTCCCACGCCTCTCGTAGCGGCAGGTGGCCCTCTGGCATGGCGGCGCTCGCCAAAAGGGACAGCCGGGCGAGCGCGGCCTCCCACCCAGCGCGCAGCTGCTGCTCACGCTCCGCTGTCAGCAGCGGCGACTCCTCGCGGTACCACCGGTCGACGACTGCCCCAATGTGCCGCCCGACCACAGCCTCGTCGGGCGGCCGGCCGGCCGCCGCCTCTGCCCGCCGCATGACGCAGACGCTCGCCTGCTGCTCCACTCCTGGGAGGCGCAGCGCCGTGTGCCGCACCTCCCAGCCGAGCTCCGGGCAAGATAGGACCGGAACGAGCAGCTCCGGCTTGCGGAACGAGACGACGACGTACACGCCACGAGGCGAGAGTAGCCACGAGCGCACATTGCAGAGGAGGCGCGCGGCGTCGTGCTCGACGATGGCGCAGTCCAGCATCCCCTTGTCCACGACAAGGTCGGCGAGACCTTGCGGGCAAGCGGATGCCAGCGAGTCGGCGTCGCACACGTCGCACGTCGCCCACGCCACCCGCCGGTGCTCCGATCCGTGCTGGGTTCGCATGGTCTCCGCGGTATGCTGCTCCCGATCCAGGCCCAAAACGCTCTCGTAGAGCGAGCCGAGGTGCAGCGGCAGCGTGGAGTTGCCACATCCGACGTCCGCCACGCGTGCCGTGCGAGGCAGGCCCAGCGCCTCGGGCGTGAGGAGCGGCGCGAGCTTATCCCAGCCGGCGACCCACTCGAAGGTGCCGCGGCGCTCGTCGACCAAAGCAGCCATTCAGGGTTCCCAATACCCGGGTACGGGTGGCCATACCCTGGGTTTTAGGGTAGAAAACGCGGCGGCCTGTTTGCGCTAGTGTCAAAAATCCCGCGCCACTGCGGGCGAATGAAGAGACCTGCGCTGCACAGCCGTCTGCGCGCTGAAATTCTATACGGAATCGATACGGGGGGGGGGGGGGTTTAGCAATACCAAACAACTCTAACACTCACACGTAATTTGGGGCCTGGAGCCCTGTTCACGCGCGCGCGAGACGTGCAGACAGGGTTGCCAGGTGAGAGCGAATGGCGCGGTTCACGCCTCGCACAACAGAGAGAGAGATGCGCTCTGCATGGTGGGACATAAAAGAGAGCGAGTACTTGGGCGAGTAGGCCGTGCGGTCGACGCTGCCGCGCGCGACTTTGCGCGCGAGGCGGCGCAGCTTGAGAACGGCGGTGGGCGAGAAGCCGCCGCCGAACGTCTCGTGGAGCAGCAGGTTGAAGTTGTTGCGCTTTGTTTTGTCGATACGTGGTACGTCTCTGAATCGCTCGTGGAGAGGAGCTACGGCCATTCTCCACTTGTGTTCGACGACGTCGTACATTGTTCGACGACGTCGAACACGATCGAGTAACCGCACGGACATTGCATGGGGCCAAGCCACCCTCATGTGACCGGACACTCGCGTCAATTGTCTCTGTGCGCATAACGTTTGTCTTCGGTCGTTGCATGGCCCGCGCGCGTGCGAACAGACAAAGTGCGAAAGGTCTCTCGAACAAAAGTGCGATAAAAAAATCTCGGGTCGCGGGCTACTCCGGGCTACGCCATGCCCGCCATGCCCGACGAGCCCGCCCAGACGCCGCTGCGCACGCTGACCACGGCGCTCGCCCGCGCGGCGGCAGTCGTGGACTCCGTCTCTCCCACGCTGACGAAAATCTTCCACTACGGCCTGGTCCCGCTCGTGCTGCTCCTCGGCGTGCGCAGCGCCGAGCCGCGCCCAAGGCTGCTGGACCTGATCCTCCCCATGTGATGCATCCACGCGTTGGAGTTTCTGTGCGCTATTAAGAGGCCTGAAAAGCAGTAGCGGGCGAATGCAGCAGTGAGCCGTCGTGATCGTGGCGTGCTCTAGCGCTGGTGGGCGCCGCACGCCCGATGTCTCATGTGAGTGGCGTCCGCGACGCGCCGCCTGCCATCTTTTCGTCCACCCCCTCTCCCATTCCGCGGCGTCGGCACTGTCCCGTACGTTAATTGTCAATATTTCACGCCGGCACCTCCGAGCTGCCCCGCGTGAGGCGACCCCGCGCGCCGCAGCGCATCTCTCGCGAGACTCGGCGCACGCGCCACACGCCCACGCCAGCGCATCTCAGACTCACTGATCACACGCGCGCCGGGGGGGGGGGGGGCGGCCGCGCGCGCCGTGACACCCTGCGCAGCAGACGCCAGACGTACACCAAAACAGCCTGAGACTGCGAGCCCGAGAGGGCTACGCGGCTGTTGTCGGCCTGGCCACATACGACGCCCGCCCGCCCCGGGCGCCACTGTGGCTGTGTGGTCCGCGAGGGGCGTGGCGCGCGTGCTCACAGAGAGGGCGGGTGACTGGCGGCGCGGCCCGCCTTCTGCGCCCGGGCCAAACGCCTTCTGCGTCAGAAGCCAAACGCCTCCATCAGGTCATCGGCCGTCGCGTCGCCCCCGTGGACGTCCACCTCCGAGGCGTCAAACTTGTGCAAGCCGCCCGCCGCCTTCTTGCCCGACGCCTCGAGCTCCTGCATCTTCCGCACGCGCTCCTCCTCCACCGCGGCCGCCTGAAGGGCGGGGGCGGAGTGGAGAGCCGTGGCGTGCGTGCGCGCCGTGGCGGCCGCGCATCGGCCGGGCCGCTCGGCCACCTCCTTGGCCTTGCGCGCCAAATCCTCCTGCTTCTTCTTGAGGTCCTCCGCTTCGTCAAACGCGGGGGGCGCCGCCTCCGCCGCCGGCGCAACCGCCGCGGGCTGTGCGGCGGCGGGCGGCTGCGCGGCGGCCGCGGCGGCGAGCAGCGATGCGAGCGCCTCGAGCGGCTGCTCCGGCCGCTCGCGCGCCAGCGCGTTGAGTGCGTCGTTGAGCTGCGGCGTGATTGCGTCCATGTACCTACAGGACCGCACTCACTGAATGGATTCCACTCTCCCGGAACGAATCGGTCAAGTGACGTGTCTCCACGCACCTACAAGAGGGGAGAGCCGGCTGAGCCAGAGTCGCCCGACCTGCCCGCCGCGTCAGCGCGGGCGGCGTCGCACTGCTGCAGCGCCACCCGCGGACCCCGCGCCTCGGCCACCGCCTTGGCAACCTCCTCCTTTGTCGGGACGTGCTGCGCCGGCGGCGGCGGCGGCTTCTCGCCCTTTTTGAGCTTTGGCGGCGGCGGCGGCGGGCTGACGAAGGGGATGAAGTCGACGCCGCCTGAGCAGGGAGAGCGGGCGCCGGCGTGGACTGAGCGGCTCGGGGAGAGCTCGGGGCGCCCTTGGGAGGGGAGGGGGGGGGGAGGAGGAGGCGTGTGGGTGTGTGGGGAGGGGGCGGGGGCGGCGGCGCGCCCATGTACTCCTGCAGCACGTCTGGTACGCGGATGCCGATGGGCGTCTGGTAGTTTTCGATGACGCAGCACATGGCGCGCTCGGTGGCGATCAGTGTCGAGTTGAGCATGTGGCAGTACCTGCAATGGCGGCGGCGGCGGCGGCGGCGGCCGAGGCGGCGGGGGGGGGGGGGGGGGGGAAGGAGGCGGGCGTGAGACGGCGGCGTGGGGCCGGCACAGAGAGGGCGAGGCTGCGAGGCTCGACTGTGCACGAGAATGCTGGAGCTGCTGCGAGGCTGCCAGGCCTGTGAGTCTGGCTACAAGGCGAGGCGGAGCTGCATCGCACTTCTTCTTGCCGTCATCGGTCTTTGTCTGACCGAATCGCACCTCGAGGCGGCGCGACTGGTAGTCGGTGCAGTTGGAGCAGGAGACGAGCTCGCGGTGCGCGTTCGAGCCGGGGAACCACGCCTTCGAGGTGAGAACAACAACCACGGGATTCGAACGATGCATGTCGTACAGCCGCGCCGCGACGTCCCGCGAGGAAGTGTCGTGTCTAGGAGGTGTCTAGGAGGTGTCTAGGAGGTGTCTAGGAGGTGTCTAGGAGGTGTCTAGGAGGTGTCTAGGAGGTGTCTAGGAGGTGTCTAGGAGGTGTCACGCCTCGAGGTCGTACTTCTTGGCCGCCGCGTCGTTGAGCTCGCCCGAGACGATGTTGACGACCTTGTATGGGATGCCTACCGGCGAGGTCAGGACCGAGGTGCGGCGAAGAGGCCGCGCGCCGGGCTGGACGAGGGTGCGGCGGTGCCCAGCGACTGGTAGAAGTCCATCGAGGTCTGAATCATCCGCTCCTGTTGACATGGCCCGGGCAGTGAAGCGCCGCCGTTCACAGCCTGCCGCGGCGTGGAGCGCCCTCAACGCCTGCTCGTCCCACGACGTCTTCCCCTCGGGCGAGGTGATTGCAAACTGCTCCACCTTTTCAAACTGGTGCACGCGGAAGATGCCGAGCTGGTCGCGCCTAGAGACATGTCCCGGACATGTCATGGACGTGTCCTGGACATGACTGCACGCGGAAGATGCCGAGCTGGTCGCGCCCGTGCGAGCCCGCCTCCTTGCGGAAGCAGGTGGAGTAGCCCGCGTACCTAGGGACACGGCCTCGACACGTCTCGGACATGTCCAGGACATGTCCTGTGGACGAGGAGCCCGAGACGTCCGGGACACGTCCGGGACACGTCCTGCTAGAGGTCGCGAGTAGCCCGGGGAGTGCGCACCGCTTGGGCAGCTGTTTGTCGTCGATCCACTCTCCGTGGTGGTAGGCGCAGATCGGCTGCTCCGACGTGGCGATCAGGTACTGGTCCTCGGAGGCGCCCGTCACCTACGCAGGCGGCGGCGGGGCGGAGGGCAGTGGGGGGCAGCAGTTGGGGAGGGAGGGCATGCGCTGGGTGGCGGTTTTGGTGGCGGTGTGGTGGCGGTTTGGCGGGCGTGGTCTCAGGCGGTGGCCGGCCCGAGGTCCGGGAAGGGCAGGACATGTCCGGGACATGTCTAGGACATGTCCGTGACATGTCCGTGACATGTCGGCCCGAGGTCCGGGAAGGGCAGGCGCCAACGCCGCTCCGCATCAGAGGCGGTGGCTCGGGGCGCTGGAGCAGGACGGGCGCAGCAATGCTCGCCGCCCGGAGGTGGGGGCGGTGGAGGAGGGGCAGCGCTGGGGCAGCAGCAGCGAGCCTTGTAGAGCTGCTCATCAAAGTCGGCGAGCTGTGCAACCTTGGACATGAGCGACTTGTTCATCACGAAGGGGGTCTGCAGCAGCGTCGCGCCTCGCGACGTCAGGAAGTGCATCGCGTACGAGATGAGCGCCTGGTTGAGCAGCACGCCCGCGCCGGTGAGGAAGTAGCCCCGCGAGCCGGCGACCTGGGAGCCGCGCTCGGTGTTGGCGAGGCCGGCCATCTGGATGAGGTCGTAGTGGGAGAGCATCCAGTCCTCGCGCTTGAACTCGCCAAACTCGTGCACCACCGCGTTGTGCTCCTCGTCGTCGTGCACCGGCACGTCGTCCGGCACGAGGTTGCCGATCTTGCCGATCGTCGAGTCGCGCAGCTCGATGCACTCCTTCTCCTTGGCCTGCAGCTGCGCGATCTCCTCCTCGATCGCCTTCTTCTGCTCGAGCAGCTCCGGCGGCGGCGTCTCCTTCTTCTTCATGAAGCCGCCGATCTCCTTTTGCGTCTTGCCTCGCGTCGTGAGCGCCTGATCGAGCGAATAGCGCGTCTTGCGCCACTCCTGATCGTACTCGATCACCTGGTCGACGAGTGCGACGTCGGCGTAGCGCCGCCGCTGCGACTCGCGGACGAGGTCCGGGTCGCCGCCCTGCTCGGAGCGGAACAGAAGGATGTCGAGCATAGGTGGAGAGGCGTGGCTGCCCAGCGGACTAAAGAAGAAATCAGTGGGCCGACCAAAATCCTGCTCGTGCAGGTGGGGGTGCGCCGAAACAACCCAAAAAAAAGGGGAACATAGCGTTTAGCGCTCACCCCGCCGACCCCATTCGGACACGCCTCATTGCTACCTACCTACCTACCTCATAAGACTCAAAGATCCTCCTTCCCGACAATCCCGTCCCGCGTCGTCGACGCCGTCGGGTTCTGAGACTGAGCAATGATGAACCGCTGCTCTTCCGCGGCGTTGCCCCTGACGGCAAACTCTCCTATCAGCACCCCAGAAGGCAGCCGTGCCCGCAGGGCCCTATTTGAGCAGTGTGCCACGCCGTGTCTCAAGTGAATGCGGGGCTGGGTGAGCCTAGCGCAGGGGAGTGTTCTCCGCCTTGCCGCGTCCGCTCGGACCCTAGCCCACCGACCCGGCCGGAGCGTGGCAGCGATCCGCTCCTGCTGCGAAGCAGGGTCCACAACTAGCACCTGGACAGGCCTCGCTGCCCGATTGTCCACAAACACGACCGCGCTGCCCGCGTACTCTGCCGACTGCGCCATCAGCTCATCGTGGTCCACCTTCCATAGCCGGAGACTGCTCAGCCTAGTAAACTCCTGAAACATGAGCCGACGCGACGCCGCGGGGTCCAAGGCCCGGGACGAGGCGGCCGGCGAGAAGTATGCACCATGGGGCAGGTGTCCAGAGTAGAGAACCATCCGGTTGAGGCGCACAGGGACGGATGCGTACTGCTCAAACTCGCCGGTGAGGTCCTCGGCCTCGGCCGGTAAGCTGAGGTTGGGATCGTGCTGGCGCCTGTACTTTTCCACGGAGCTCTGCATGGCAGCCAGGCACATGTACAGGTCGCCGGCCATCGCACAGCCCGACTCCTCGCACCCGCCGCACAGCTCCACCCCCTGCTCGGCGCCAGGCCGCCTCCTCACGCGCCAAAATGAGGTTCCAGAGTCGTCATACTCTGAGGTGAGGTGTAGGTTGAGCACCAAGTGCCCAGAATCGAGGTGGGTCAAACTGGTGGCTGGCCGATCCGACAAAAAGGCGAGCCGCCGCCACCCATCGGCACTCGCGTTGCCATCCGTCGGAAGAGGCTCGATGAGCTCGAGCAAGCTCCACTTTCCAGCCTGGCGGCTGAAGACTCCAGCTTCTCTCGCGAGAGCACGCGCCCTGGCTCGGGCGGCTGAACCAACTGCGCCTGTCCCGTGGAGGGCTGGCCAGGCATCGAGCAACGCATGCCGGAGCGGCGCCTCGCTGCCGAGGCGCATGCGCTCTCGGGCAAGGTGTGCCTCTGTCATCGAAAGCTTGCCCTGCGCGAGGAGGAGTCGTAGCGCCCGCCGAACGCAGGGTAGGTGTTCCCCCGATCCCAGCCGAAGGCTGGCCGTCACGTTAGTTTCTGAAGGCACAAAGATGCGGCCTGGGAAGCGAGAGCCCTCTGCACCCGGCAACGCCTGCTCGTGCACAAACGATGATGTGTCCAACGAGAGGAGCTCTGAGAGCGGCTCTGGGCAGAGGAAGCTGTCGATCACGAGGACCGGGTGCCTGCCGTTGCCAATCGAGAGAAGGTCTACGTCGGAGTCTGCAAAGCAACAGAAGTCGCGCGGGCTAGGCATCTGCATGGTTCGCTCGATTTTACTTGCGCAAAACTCGCACTTTCAAACTCGGTGTCGAACCACCAGCCCGACGCGCACTACAGTTAAAGCTCGTTTCGGCCCATTCCCCCTTCATTCGCCAGTCATTCGCCGCCCTCGGCGCTTCGGGGTGAAATCTCCCCGCGCCCGCCGGGGCGCCCCACCCACAGTGCCCAGACGCCAGAGGCGCTCTCTCTCGTTTGTGCGTACGTCTTTTTAGCTTACTGCGGGAGAAAGGGGAGGGGCAGATGTGCGCTCTATCTAGGCCCCTACCTTAAGGAAGGCCCTCGCGCGGCGTAGTGAGTGAGGGAGATCGGTTTACGGCTCAAAAAATAAAAACAAGATTTTCGTGCGTACGTACGGACGGACGGGGTGTGGAGGGTGAGTTGACCAGTGGCTGTGCGCCGGGCCCTCCTGCTCGGCTCCAGCCAGTAGACAAGTCTTGTCATCAACAGAGTAGATAGATCTGACCTCGGGGCCGATGTGATCAAGCGCTGGTAGCGTGGTTTGACCTCACACCCATGGTCTCACAGTGTGCTGGCAGTCGCCGAGCAGTGTCGCTCACACAAGCCGCAGCACAAGTGACTGAGGGCCAGTGAGGGCGAGCCCATCGCTATCACAGCTGTAGCAGCCGCACAGTAGGCTGTGTCAACTGTGCAGAGTGTGTGAGCAGCAGAGGAGCTGCTCTCCAGGCTTCAGGCGCAAAGAGCTGCAACCTGCATGCCACCGAAGGCGCTGTCGAGGTTCGCCGAGCGCGGCGCAGGTTGGGGGAAGCCGCCACCGACGAGCGCGTTGGACTTTTCACTCCGGGCAAAAAACGCGGCACAGCGGACGGTGCGGGGCGTGCCGCAAACTTAGCGGCGAGGCGCGGGACCGTCTATGTGTCAGCTGTGGCGAAGTGTGGGTCGCGTCCCCCCGATTTCCGTCAAGTCAACCCAGCATCCACACCCTTTAGGCCGTAGCACGCTTTTTCGCCAAAAAACAAATGGGGCCCGCGCGGCCGCGCGCCCGCTGTTTTGCTTTTGGCTTTTGCAAGCCCACCGTCCGAGCCATTTCTGGAACTGGATGGACGCAAATTCCAGCACCCCGTCCAGCGATAGCCGATACGGCTCCAACAGTGAGTCAATACACACAGCGTGCTGTGCGACTGCGCTTCTATGCGCCCCGTAGACACAACCGCACCGCAATGGCGGCATCACCCCCGCGTCTGCTGTCGCTCGACGCAGCCCGAAGTCCCCCTCCGCACCGAACCTCCGTCGAGGCCGCCGCTGCGCCAGAAGCGGGCGTCGCGGCCGGGCCCTCGACCGTGCCGCGTCCCCCGAACGCCTGCGCGAGCGGTCCAAGTGCGCGGTGAGAGCGGGCGGGCGGCCGGGAGGGGGGGGAGGGGGGCACACGACGCGCCTGCTCCGGGAGCACGAACACGTGGGAAACTACTTCCCCCCCACGACGATGATGGGGTGCCCGACCGGCATGTTGCGGAGCAGCGTCCAGACGGTGTACAGGGCCTGGCCTCCGAGCAGTGCGTAGCCGACACTGGGCTTGAGCTTCCAGTTGCCCACCTGGAGGATGATGAGGAACATGGCAAGGAAGCCGACGAGGAGGATCATCGGCTCGCCGAGCTCCGAAAAGTCGGGGCACTGAATAGAGGGGGGGGGGGGAGTGAGAGGAATG